GAATGTTTTCGTTGCCTAAATCTAGTGTAAATATGCATATAACACCCATCACTTTATTGGAGATTTAAATATTAGATACAAACTGAACTCAAAGAGATTACTTCATGGATCCAATCACGAGTAATTTTAAGATAATATAATATCTTTAATTCTTAAAGCGGAGAAACATTGAGTTCTTTGCATACAATTGGTTTGTGTATTTGTCTTACTATAACTATATCCTTAACTAGTGGTTATAACGAGTAAGTCTATGCATGATTTGACAAGTAGAAAAAAGCTATGTGGTCGAGGTTTATTTTTTCTTTTTGCCTTAACGAGAAAAGAAATATCAATGAGACCCTTGATGATTTGATGTTAACATTCGTGTGCTAGGCCTAGTTCGAAATGTGTTCGATTAGTAGTCTAATTTAATCATCATAAATCATTAATCGAGAAACATAATGTTGAATTGTTAGGTTGATTCATAATCCATGACTCAGGTCACACACACACACACACACACATATATATATATATATATGTATATATATATATATATATATATATATATATATATATATATATATATATATCTTGTAGTAACAAAGGAATACTCGATCACTTATGTAAATGTTGATTTTTTATTAGATCAAAGTTTAGTAGATGTTGTGGAAGGCACACTTTGTTGGTTATTCGAAGATTATTTGACCAATAGTAGTTGATGACTTGTCCAAGTGGGAGACTGTCCAATGTCATAACTAATTGGTATAACTTTGGGAATAATAACAAAGTCCTTTTAGGGATGCCCTCAAGAGCTAAAATGGCTAAAAAAATGTTTTATGAGAATAAGGAAAACTGTGTATTAAATTATTACAGGTTAATAAATTAATTAGAAACTAGTTAGAATTAATTTGGAATTAGTTGGAGTTAATTAGAATTAATCAGGATTTATTTAAAGATACATAGACTAAATGTTAATTGTTCAATAGTTGAGTAAGAGGAACAGTTTGGAATCCCTAAGGGGTTGGATGATTTTGAAGAGGCTCTAGAAGCATACTGGAAATCGTCCCTGGTAGCTGATAAGGCAATGGTTTGGATTACAATTAAATTTGATCAATTAATTAATTCAAATCAACTTATATGCAACTTACCTCAACCATGGCCTTTAAAAATCCGATCCTAGACATTTTCAAGGCTGAGAATTTGGTCCTTGTAATCCCTCTCATCTCTTCTTGATTTATAGTGTTTAGACTTTTGTGTGTGATTCTTTAGTGACACTCTACTTTGGGTACTACTTACTAGATCTTTCAATAACATCAAAGGGATTCAATATCCATATGTATTCTATAAGCAAATCCGATTTTTATTAAAGGTTAGCAATTCTGTCTATCTTTGTAGTTTGATTTTGTAGTTATGAAAGTAGGTTTCTATAACTAGCAAAACTTAGATCCTAGTGTGTATGTACACTTAGGGTTATTTTAATTGCTTTCGTTGCCTAAAATTCAATGTATAGATGCATAGAAATCCTATTACTTAGATCAAATCTTAATATTTGACTAGTTTAGTTTCAGTTTTGTAATTTCTTACTTTGTTTCAAAGGACACATAATTAACATTACTAACTTACAACTCTAATGTTAATCATTGTTAATACCTTAACAATTTAAGTCTAAGTTTTAGTTAACTAAGTTAATTCACAGTCATTCTAGAATTTTCATAATTGATGAGTTTGACCACTTAACATTTTTCTAAACCTAATATGACCTTCCATTCAACATTTCAAGTCCATGAATCATCAATTTTAAGCCAAAATGTTAAAATTTTAAAAAACTAAGTCTACATTGTAATTAAAAAAAAAAATAGTGAGGTGTCATTCCGTAATTCCTAATCATTTTTACTTTAACTTTCACCTAACAATTTATTAAAATTTTAATTTAATCATTTTAGATTAACTAATATTGAATTTTTTAAACCAATTATTCTATTTATTTTTATTTTAAAAATTAACTTATTTTATAAGGAATTTTATTTAAGGCTTAAAGCTCCTAACCCACATGAAATTAAACATTATGAAGATTGTCACAAATGTTGAACATATACTTATGGAATATTTTATAAGGGTAGTAATGTTATCATGTGTTTCGAAGTGTGATCTAAGCTTAGGCTAGCCAACCTACTATCATTTAATTGGTAGTTATGTTAGTCTCATATTGTAAACCATCTTTGAATATTTGTTGCTTTGAAGAACTAACAAGGTGATCACATCATTTTATATCTTTAGTATGATTCCTTCTAAAGAGTCAAGACTACTTTCTAGTTAAAGCTACAATGAAGCCAAACTAACTATTTGATCACATGACAGTTTCCACTTGAAGTAGAAGCTTACTTGCTAGAAAGGGAGGTCAATCTCATTGTTTGAAATTATTCAAACTTACTTGCTCAATGTGTCATGTCACATTAGAGCGCTTTCAATTGCTCATTTTTTTGAGTTTCTTCCGACATCTCACATGATCTAAAAAGTGTATTACATAAGGATGGATTCATTATCACTAGAGACAAAATTTGTGTATCAATTTGGGAGGGGGAGGTTGTTTTCGATGGGGATATGGTTTGTTTGCTCTTTTAATCTAACAATAACAAAAGTAAAGGGTATTATAATATTTTTATGAAATTAAAATCTTAATTGCTAAAGTCGATCTTCCAAGACCAAATATGAACCAAAACTACAAAACAAGATTATTTTTTGACCTAGACCAAAAGATAACATCTAAATATAAGGACAAAGTTAAAGATCCATATATACCTTCGACCCAAAATCAATCTTTTAACAATTTACATTGATGACTTTTTTAAAATTTTATTTTATCTAAAATTAGCGGTTTAAATTCAGTCAACTATCTATTCATAACTAACAAACAATATGCCAATATGATCAAATAACTTGTTTCATACAAGCAGGCAACTGGGCAAGTAACATTATTCAAATGTCATCGACTGTTTTATATTAGTTTGTCTATTTTGTTTCTTTTTCATTTATTACGTTTACAGATGATTTGTTTTTCACTTTTTTACTTTTATTGTCTTTTTAGTATTTTAGCATATTCATTTTACAAATGGTAAAGGGCAAACAAGTAAATTGTTGAGAATGGTGTGAAAACTGTGGCGAATTTTCGGCCGTAACCGGTGAAGGTGGTCTAGTAATAGCCCAGCCAAGGACAGAAAGCGTGAAACGTCACGCGACACCCCTGGGTCCCACAATGGGTCCCACACCACAACCTTTATTTTACATCCCTCAATTAATAGAACAATATTAATAGTCAATTAATTAAAAACATGTTAACAATTTCGTCCTTTTGTCTAATATTCGGCCAGGTTTGATATCATAGTTAAGGGAATAATGGTCTAGTTAATTTTTCAAGATAATTTTATATTATATTTATACTAGGTTAGATGTCAATGAGTTTAGAATGTATGGAGTTTGGACCTTGTTACTAACCTAAATATGTATGATAAATCTCATAATAAATTCATCATTTAGTAGTGCATATTGATGAAGTGTTTTGTAGGTAGAAGAGTTGAGAAATATATGAATGTGACATAAAGTTATAAATGTATTATAGTTTTTGTTTGAGATAGATGTATTTTAGTGATTTTATATTATTTTTTTAAAACCCTCAACTACCTATGATTATTTTTAGAAAGAAAACCATGTATTTAGTTCCTTTTGTCACTTCAATATGGATAGTAGATACAAGAACAGTTCAACCGTGTATTTTTGAAGAAAAAAAATTTAATTATTAAATTTTGAGAAAATATTCGAATTATTGAAAAACAAAATGTTTGGTAGTATGTTGTTTTAATTTTAATCAAAAAATTCTTTCAAATAGTTGTTGAAAACTTTTGATTTTAGATTTTTATGTAATTTTATATCTTTAAAAGTTAACATGTATTTTTGTCGAATATTTTTACTTAAATAAAAGTTATAGAAGAATTTAGAATAACCTAATAATTAAGTATACTATTAAAATTTTTGATATAGATTTAAGAGTTCTCATTTTCATGCTATTTCCATTAAGTTTTAGTAGCATAAAGTATTATTAACAATTTATAACAATAACAACAATAGTAATATACAAGTCTCACAAAAAAAAAAAAATGTAACTATGAAATAAGATGTAAACACATATGCAAGGTAGAAAATAAAAGACTAATTTCATTGGTAACAAACGAATTAAAATTGAAAAAAAAAATAACCCAAAGTCCAAGATAAAAAAAAATGACTATGAACATATTGCAGTTATTTTGTTATAATAAAAGAAGTATATTGATAAACAATATATTATTTTATTACAAGAACAATTATAATTATTTATTTTATGTTGATCTCAATGTGTGGTCAACTAAAAAAATTTGATGTCAAAGTAGATTTCTTTATATTGACATTGCATGAAAAACATTAATCTTTTGCTTTAATAGTAGACAGAAAAAGTGAACGTGACATTGAAACAGAGACTAGACTGTTAGAAACTTTCCAAGTAGGGGAGGTTTAGTGCAAAACCGTTAACTCAAGGGGTTAAAAATAGAAATATAAAAATAGTACCAACAAGTTTGTGCAACACGTAACCTATACTTTTGAACGGCCGTGATCTTCTGACATCTGTCCTCATCAAATTTCAACGGTCAAGATCACCGGACTTCTCTTCCACGCCACCCACTTTCCCGCCATTTCAACGGCGACGATTTTCTACAAGAAAAAAAAAATTATTTTCGTATTATCAGAAAAGAAAATACCGTATTTATCGCGGTTAAATTTACGAAATTACCCTTCAATACCATATCCCTCTATCCTAGATTTCCAGGACTCTTTAGTCAACTAACAGTCGACAATATTTCCCAATCGTACACGAGTCGGATAACAATAGAAAAAGAATTATAATAATAATAATAATAATAATAATAATAATAAATAATAATAATTTGTATAAAACATAAAAATTAGAAGAAAATAAAAATTCTTGTTCGAGATCGAGGAGATCCAAAATTAAAAATCAAGAATTTGTAGAGAGAGAAAGTTAGAGATAGAAAGAGAGAGAGAAGGGGAAGTTGAGGGAAATTACCGAAATGGAAAAGGTGAAGAAAGAATATTTGGGTCAGATTTTTCATTCATCACATTGATGGATCATTCATGAATTTCTTCTGGGTTTGAGATTCTCTTTGATTTTTTCAATTCAATTTCGTCTTTTTCTTCTAAACGATTGATGATCATCAACATCGATGGTTTTGTGAAGTTCTTGGTAAAATCGGTCATTTTCGACGTCTTTTTTAAAATCCATTGACGAAATCGTTTTTTATAATTTCTGGGTTTTGATCAAAAAGCGAGTTTTGGTCATCGGTTTGGGTTTGATTAGTTTATACAGAAAAAAACAGAGCACAGAGAAACACTGTGCGACGAATTTTTATATAAATTATAAAATTGAATCCGTTTTTGCGCATTTAAAACTATATATTGGTATGCCGGATAATCGGCGTGTTCAGAGGAACGGTGGCGTTGCCAACTCTTCGTCAAATTCTTCTGTTCATAACATCGAAGGTACAATTCTACACATACACTTCTGTTTTCGAATTTTAATTAGCATTTACTGTTTGTAATTTACTAATGCTTAATTTCGAAGCAACCCATTAGTTTTGAAGAACGCGATCATGATTTGAATGCTATATTCATCAGTTTCTGTATATATATCTGACGTTACTCTGTTACAATTTGATTCATCTATTCTATTTCCATTTCCCCCTAATTTTTCTCTGTTTTTTTTGCCCTATCTCCCATTTCCGTACGATAATATTACTTTATCCCCCACACCCATCGTTTTGCGATCACGAACTGTTTGAATCCCGGGGTTTAATTGTTACAAAGTGTGTCTGATTCTTTATTAAACTTCTTCAAATCATAGAAGCTGTAAGGCGATTGAGAATTCAAACGGATGGGAAAGAAGATGGAAATGGAACTGCCATGGCGGGTTCGATGCCCTACCCAGATCGTCCCGGTGAACCCGATTGTATATTTTATTTAAGAACCGGCTTGTGTGGCTATGGAAACATTTGTAGGTTTAATCATCCAACCCACATTGGTCAGGTAATCAAACAAAAAAAAAAAAAAAAAACCCTTTTACTTTTCTCAATCGGAATAAACCGATTGTTGTTCTTCATGTCTGAAATCCAATTCTTCATCAGGCCAATCAACTTCAACTTGGAGGCGAGCTTCCAGAAAGAGTTGGAGAACCAGACTGTGTGGTAAGTCTCTTCTTCATGTCGACGATGATCGTTAGGGATAATTAAGTAATTTCACATCTTTTTTTTCTTCATCAGTATTTTCTAAAGACGGGTACTTGCAAATACGGATCAACCTGCAAATACAATCATCCTCGTGATAGGAGAGGTGCTGGACCAGTTATGTTAAACATGGTTGGATTACCTATGAGACAGGTTGCTATCTACTAACCTCGATCTTCAATTTCAATTTCAATTTCAATTTTTCTTCAAAAATCATAATTTAACCTAACTTATAAAACCCTTAATTAGGAAGAAAAAGCTTGCGCACATTACATTCGAACTGGATCTTGTAAATTTGGAGTCGCATGCAAGTTTCATCATCCACAGCCATCAATCGATGGATCCAACATTCAATTGCCATATTCATCCCAACCACCACCTCTTATCAATGGCGTCTCTACATGGCCATTACCTAGGGCAACATACGTTTCCGATCCTCTTTTACAGACTCCTCAAACTTATTTACCAATTGTTCTTCCTCATTCTCAAGGAATTGGTCCCACTCAAGGTTGGAGCACTTATATGGTAAGTTTAATCGATGTAAATTTTGGGTTTTTGTTTGTGGCTTCAATATTCGTATTAAACATTGTGTTTCTTTGGTCAGGGAAATTCGGGCAGCATCTATGGTGGACCGGGCAGCATTGAACAGCAGTATTCCTCTGGTTCTAGTAATCTGCCCGAACGGCCCGGAGAACCCGAATGTCGTTATTTTATGCACACTGGAAACTGCAAATACGGATCCGACTGCAAATATCATCACCCCAAGGAAAAAATTGCTCAATTGGCTGCTAGCTCATTGGGCCCACTTGGGCTTCCATTAAGACCCGTAAGTATAAACGGGTTGACCCATTTTGAATTTCAATTTAATTAATATAAAATATAATTCTGATTCAAAATGCAGGGGCAAGCAGTGTGTTCTTATTATAGTCTTTATGGAATTTGCAAGTTTGGGCCAACTTGTAAATATGATCACCCTTTGATGGGATATTCATACAACTACAGCATGAGTATACCTAATGCTAATGCAGCATCTTTGTTTCCATATGGAGGGGTGAATTCGTCAACGCTTCATTCTTCAGGGTCTTCCCCGTCAAAATCATCGAAAAATGAAGGTGCTAAAACCCCTGGAGGAGCTTCGCCTTCACCTTCACCTTCACGTGCTACATCTCCATCACATTCAGAATGATATTGGTTTTTGTTTAGAATTGGGTTGTGTTTTTGAGAGATGAGGGGAGGGGGGATTTGTTTTTGGTTCTGAATAAAATTATGCAGATGAGGGAAAATGTTATACTTTTACTGCTATTACTTACATTTTATCTGGTATGAATTGTTCTTTTTGTTGTTTTTTATGGATGGTTTTTGTTAATTTTATGAGTGGTGATGCCATTTTTGTTCTAATATTTTATTCGCTACCTTTTTTGTTGTGAATTATTTAATGGGTTGTTTCTATAAACCAATGAAAGTATGTTTATATAAATCAAATCCGATTTATAGATATCAACTCTTTGTAGCTTTTCATTAACACCATACTTCCTTTTGACTGAAAATTGAGATTTTCATGGATGTTACCTACATCAAAGTCAAAAAATGGATTGAATAAAGAGGTTTTTCACAGGTAATAGTTGGTAAAACCTTAATTTCTCAATCAAAAAATGAGTTTTTTTTGCGAGTGTTACATGCAAAACTTCTTTATTTAGTCAATATTTTAACTGAGGTATGAAATTTTCAAGGGTGACACATGCAAAAATCTAATTTTACATCCTCACTAAATATTTTTGGGAGTCCTAATAAATATGGGGGTTGCTTAAGTGAAGACGTGCTAGTAACATGAGGTAGTTCTGAATTTATATGCGTAAAATGTGTTATTTGAAACCCACCCAATAGAAATCGAGCAAAATCTAATGTTTTATTTGAGTTGGTGGTATGTGAATAGTAAGATATAGCTAGGGAAATGGATGGTATTTATGTAACTTTTGGATTTAGGTACAATTAGTAAACGAATATTGAAATAAATAAATATTTTTTAGTTTGCTGCCAATTCATCCGGAAACGCTCTCAAATTTCCTCTGAATTACCATCTGTGAACACCCATTTTTCTTTAAATCTTCAAGAGTTTGCGCCAAGATTCCTTCAAATCTTCATATTCTCATAAAAACATTTAAACCCACTTTCAAATCTTCATATGATTTTTAAATCTTTATAATATTCCCCAAGAACATTAAGATCCAACCGAGAAAACCATAACCTCCAATTGAAAACCCCATTGTCTCACCGAAAACCCATTTTAAATATTCCAAACAATTCCAAATAATTTTGTAAGTATTTCTTACATGATTAAAGTGTTGTTTAACACTTTAATTATTATTTCCAATATTATTTAATTTATTATTTAAATTAATATCTTATTAATTTAAATACGATATTGAATATAATTATTTTTAGGATAACGTTATTTGTACGTACGCTTACCTGACGAATGTCTCTATAACTCACCAATTTAAGCTAACACACATTTAAGGTGAGTTCAAATTATTTCAAATGATTTCAATGATTACAAACGATTTCAAAATTTCTTAAATTGTTTCAATCAGTTGCAACCATTGTTCTTACAGAAACATATATATATATATATATATATATATATATATATATATATATATGGGGAAAGTGAATATACCTAACAACCTTATATAAGCTTAGGTACCTAACCACATCATACTACGTAATTTTTGTATCATATTTGCATTGTTATCACCCAATGTTCTTAAAATTCAACCTCATAACTTGATTGTTTCCAAAATCTTTGGACTTTCACCATTATCTTTCTTCAAATGACGTTTTTTCTATCGGAGACCCCCTGGTGGGCTTCATATACTACCCTTACAAATCAAATGGTGTAGGAGGAATATAATTGTGAATGTCTGAAAATCTTGGAAGTAAATCAAGTTAAAGGTTGAAGTTTAAGAACCTTAGACCATTGCATTGGAAATATAATACAAAATAATATAGTATAATGTGGTTAGGTACCTAAGCTTATATAAGGTTGTTACGTATATTCACTTTTCCATATATATATATATATATATATATATATATATATATATATATATATATATATATATATATATATATATATATATATATATATATATATATATATATATAAGTACAATTCTTTAATCATTTGTAACATGCTGAGCAAAGGAAAATTTTAAGAATAATCATATTTCAAATGGAACATATTTATAAACTATAATAGATATAGTTTATGGAACACCGATATCATTATTACTAGATACCGAGATACAAAACGATCGAACATATAAACTATAATTGGTATAGTTTATGGAACATAAGTATTAACTTACTAAGTACATGTTTTATTACAGTAACGAATATATAAACTATATTAGGTATAGTTTATGGAACATATAAACAATTATTCATTTCAAAGGATAATCAATTATTTTACATGTAACCGTCAGTATAGCTTTGTGAGACGCCCTTCAAGTACTTACCTAAGTACCAACAAAAGCCCTGAAATTATAACCAGAGTCTCCTGGAGGGAGAGCACGAATTTGTGTATAGATCTATACGGGACTGACAATCCCGCACCTGAGCTGCTTGCAACAGCTAGGCCAGCAGGCATGTGGTGACAGATGTCATATCGATTCTGACGCCTGAAGAACGTCATTTCAGGCCATCCTAGGTCATCAAGTATGGTTATAATAACTCACAATTTGGTATTGAAAAACGCGACTAGTGTATGAATAAGTAAACAACTTCACATAATTTTATTTAAATAATAACGTTATAATACAATATTTTACAAGTACCACTGCTGAATCTAATCGGTTATAATACCATTACAAACACAGAATACTATTCTAGTGCAGAGAAAACATATTTTCATAGTTTTATGTGAATTAAAACTACCCTTTTTACTATCACATAGTACAATAACATTTACACGTTTTGGGTACAACAAATCACAACAGAAAATATAGGATTTTCTGGGAAA